TAAATAAATAAAAAAAAAAAAACGGCATTTGCTTAGTACAATAATTGGTGCATATTCAAGAAAATGTATAAAAAATTGAGGATTTCTCTTTCCTTTATGCTCGTATGCATATAAATAATATTTCATACAAAGAAATGTTTTAAATTAGTCTCATGTGCTACAAAGTGCAATAGCTAATTTATTCATCATCTGTATGGAAAATAAAAACAAATGTTTCACACATTTTGTGCATTATTTTTAATAAGCCCATATTAAAAAGAAGAAAATCTTTCTACTTGGCTCGCAAGAAATTCCTCAGCTTAAGTATTTGAATGTCTACAGATGAAAAATGTTGGAAATTTGTTTTTACTTATTTTTCTTCACCTTCTTCTTGTAGACGTCTAGCAGATTAGCTAAAGATTTATTATTGCTTTTTGCAGTCTTTTATGGACATAGAATTTACATTGGAAAGGCTATTAAAAATTTATAATTGCAAAATAATGGGGCAAAAGACTTGAGGCGAGTCGAAATGGCAAAAGTTGTTGGCGGTTAATTTGAAAAGTTGATGCCACCAAAAGTTGCCACAGCTGCCGCAACGTAAATCTCTGTTTTTATATATAACTTACTATACTTTCTTACAATTCTCTACATTGTATATATTTATTTTTTGTATTTTTTTTTTTATCTTTTTAGCACAACATGCAGTAATTGGGCTGAAAACTGTCAAAGTGAGAGAGACAGGGAGAGAAGAAGAGCGAGACAGAGAGAGAGAGAGAAAACAACTTGAACGGAACCTGAAAAAAATGTCAACTAACTTAGTACAAAAGAAATCAAACAAAAAAACAAAACTGAACAGTGATTCGGAGCAGCTGAACGAGAAGGAAACCAGCGTAATCGTAGCTTTTGAGGCCCTCGCGAGTCCAAAGCATATTGCAACCATATCGCAGATGCTGCAGTACGATATCGATAATACGTTGAATGCTCTGAAGGAGCAACAGCGACATGCGCTAATGGAACAGACAACAAATATCATATGCCAACAGCACATCAATAGCAGCAGCAACAACAACAACAACAATAGCAGCAACAGCGACTCGGATCTGGATAACAACGTGGAGATGCCAGCTGAAAGCCAGAGCCCAGCGGGCAGTCCCAGCGTCGAGCTGGAAGTGGAAGATATTGTCACTGGCAAGTCCTGTTTGGGTGTTGCCAACGGCTTTATGCCGCCCACGCCGCCAGCCACGCCCAATTTGCAGAATACGGCGCAAAAACGTTGGCGTATTCTGGCCAAAGTATTGCGCAAGGACTCCGAGGAGACGGTCAGCTCGTCCAGCGATGAGTTCAGTGAGGAGCAAACAGCATCGGTGCGACGCTTCAAGAGTTTCGATCTGTTGCGCCAGGACAGCTTCGAGGATCACGTGAGCCTCAAGTGCTTGGGCAAGACGGAGAACTGGTACAAGTATCGCATGCAGCTGCACAACGATATCGAATACTCTGTGAATATACATCACATGGAGCGCCAGCTGACGGCCAGCGATCTGATGGGCTTCAACAATACGGGCAACATCTGCGTCTGGCCATCGGAGGAGGCACTGACGGCACTTGTGCTCTCGGATCTGGGCGCATATCGTGGCAAATGGATATTGGAGCTGGGCGGTGGCTTCACCTCGCTGGCTGGTCTGATGTTGGCCAAGTATGCCAAGCCGTATGCGGTGCATCTGACGGACGGGAACGAGGTGAGCGTGGAGAATGTGCGCAAAACTGTTTGCCTCAACGAGCTCAGCTGCTATACCAAATGCTCCGTGCTCAAGTGGCAGGAGGCAACGGCGCGTGCGGCGGCGGAGCAAGCGAAATTTGAGTTCATATTGTGTGCGGACTGTTTGTTCTTCGATGAGGCCAGATCGGCACTGGTCGATACCATCTGGTATTATTTGGCGCCCCAGGGCGTGGCGCTCATCATGGCGCCCCGCCGTGGTCGCACGCTGAACGTGTTCCGGGATGAGTGTGTGGCGCGTGGCTTTCGCGTCGACTTGGCCACGCGCTACAACGAGACCATCTGGCAGCGGCATCTCCAGCTGAAGGCGGACTCGGCTCTCTACGACGAGGATCTGCACTATCCGCTCCTACTACGTCTCTGCAAATCTCATAGCTAGAGATCAGCGATCTAGCAAACCAAGTGGGGCACGGGCGACGGGGTGCAGCTGCCTAAGTAGGTTCAATTAAAGTTTAGTCAATGGTTTAGTTTTTAGCAAGCAAATTCCAGTTTACACCTAAAACAAACACTTTTTAAATAAATATTTAAAAAAAATAAATAAAAAAAAAAAAAA